CTTAATTTACTGGCCTTGTTTTAGAAATCAGTTTACATGCCACTTTTAACAACGATGTCATGCAGTCTGCTTAGGACCTTTCCTAGGAAAATTTAAAGAACAAAAACAAAAAAAACCCACAACCCTCATTTAAAGACTTTGCTCTGAAAGTAATGAAACAGGAGTAGCAAGTAGTAGAAAACTTGAAAAAAAAGCACCAGCATCACTTTTTTTTTTTTTGGTGTGGTAAATTTCACATCACTAATTCATATCATGCTAATTATAAAAGTCTTGTACAATAAGCACACAAGTCAAATTTAACAAGCTAGCCATTTACGAACGGAAACCCAACCTTTAACCACAGTTTACAATGGGACTGATATTAAACACATAGCATTATATACTGAATAGGCAGCAGTGACTTATGTTTTCACAGTGGTTCTGTTCCATTTAATTCCCTCAACTTGGCTGGCTGGGTGACCCTGGCCTGGGGCCAAAGTCTAGAGTTTGTTCACTTTCAATAGAAAGTTCTATGTATCTGTACAATGGAGAACACATAGCTACCATTGGACTCACACTACTTTCTGGACACCAGATTAACTGGAACAGAATTTGTGGGAGAAATCTCTTCAGGGTAATGGCTCCTTTAAGACAGACTGATGGAATTTTAAAGTGGGTTGTATAGAAAAAGGAGTGGGGGAGAGAGAGCAGCTGAAAAGGCATCACCATTCCGACTTCCCACAATGATCTGGAAATATCATTGACAGAAGAAAGATGGGACATTCCTCAGGAAAAGCAAGGGAAGCAGAGCGTTTGGAACACAAGAGATGGAGCTTCCTAGCGGAAACAGAAACACTTTCTGGAGCAGGGTTCTGGTATCTTCTCCGGGAGATGGAAGTATTTCCCATCTCCTCTGTTTCAACTGAAAGGAGGGGGACAAAGGAAAGACTTTGAAAGTTAAAAGAAAAAAAATCAGGCAAATTACTTTTAATGGAGGAAAATAAATAGGTTTCTATGTCCAACTATTGAATCTTGTTCTTGGGGCAGGTAGTGTCTTATGTTTCTCCACCACTTACCACAATGAGGAGCCACATCTTGATTGGAACCGTTAGATGCTACTATAAATACAAATGATGTAGTCTTACAATGTCATGCTTTTGCTCATCTGTAAGACACAAAGGATCTGGGAGAAGTGGATGCAGTTGTGATGCACTAGATTTAATCCCAGGAAACACCCTTTAATACTTTTTTTAATGGATTAATAAAACTAAGCTTTAAAAAGTGGACACATACATTGTATGCCAGAGGGTGATGCTAGGATTACCATAAAATCACACGCGCCTCACACATGGATGTTACAGGAGACTATGGCTACTTGTGGCCTTATCCACTTTTACTCAGACTGTGCCACAAACATCATTTAAGTCATGGAGCATAGATGGAAGAGAGTTATTAGATCAGCACTCACAGCCTGTAAAGGTAGGACATAGTCCCCCAATAAAAAAACCTTGCAGATATTAAACTGACACCACTTAAGCTTGTGAGATCATTACCAGAGGCTAAAATCCTGGCCTACCGAAGGTTGCCAATCCTCCAGGATTGTCCTGGAGTCTCCAGGCATTAAAGATTAATCTTTACTTGAAGAGGTCATGTAATAAAACCTCCAGGAATATGTCCAATCAAAATTGGCAAGCCTACCCTCCCTCACAAAACCCATACGCTGAAGTGACCCAGACTGATGAAGACTAGAAATACCATGTGAATCAGAGATAAAGGCTAAACTTCAACTGTCTCAAGGACTCCTGCCTCAGTACATTATTTATGCACCTATCTTCTCTACCTATGCAGACAAAAACTATTAGTTACAATAATGCATTATCTGTATGTTCTCCTTATTTTCATATTGCATTTTGACCTATCACATAAATGCTAGACATCTTTTACTACATTATTTTTGCTCTGTGGTTTAAGGTCACTCATCCAGAATCCCTCTTTAAAGTGTGTTACTGCTGTCAGTTACAGGCAGGTCCTGTCAGTTACAGGCAGGTCCTCGTTAGCAGAGACAAATAGGAGACCGAGTGTTAGCTTCAGCCTGTGAGTCTAAGCCGCGCCCCATATTTCAAGTTTAATGGAACATTGCACTGCTGTGCTGTAAACCCTTTGTTGAAAAGAGTTAATCATAGGCAAGCATGGAGCAAGACAGGCTTCTTTGAGATTTTTTTGGCACATAATTTAAAATTCCCTGTGAGCTAGTCAAACAACTTGTCACTGATATACCAACTACATTATGGTAACAAAAAACTTCTCAAGAGTGTGTGTGTGGGGAGGGGGGGGGGGAAGAGAAACATGCAATGGGCTGTAGTCCACGAAAGCTTATGCTCTAATAAATTTGTTAGTCTCTAAGGTGCCACAAGTCCTCCTGTTCTTCTTCTTTCGCACTGTATTTGTGCCGGTGGGTTTTGGGAAGGAAGTGGCAGGGGGTAAGGTAGGAGACAAGGAGTCATTAAACATGGTTGTTCTCATCAGATGGAATGCCATATGTCTCTACATCAGTGGCTCTCAACCTTTCCAGACTACTGTACCGCTTTCAGGTGTCTGATTAGTCTTGCCATAAGAGCTCTGGACTTGTGTTTTAACAAAGGACAGTGTGTTACATGGCAGAAGAAAGGGGAGGTGGTATTAAGAGGATTCTGTCTGCAAGTCTGACACCATGAGGGGTCACAAAAACCAGTTTTGTCAGATGCAAAATTTTACCAACCTGTTAGATTCTTTTACATAACTATGGGCACGTCTTCACTACCGGCCAGATTGGCGGACAGCAATCAATCTAGTGGGGATCGATTTATCACGTCTAGTCTAGACCCGATAAATCAATCCCCGAGCAGACCCGATAAATCAATCCCCGAGCACTCTCCCGTCGACTCCTGTACTCCAGCTGAGTGGGAGGCGCAGGCAGAGTCAACGGGGAGCAGCAGCAGTCGACTCACCATAGTGAAGACACCGCGGTAAGTAGATCTAAGTATGTTGACTTCAGCTACATTATTCACGTAGCTGAAGGTGCGTAACTTAGATCAATCCCCTCCCAGTGTAGACCAGGCCTATGAAATGCCCAAGATGGCTAACGAAACCAATAGCCATCCTAAATCAGTTTGGTTTACCTCCTTTGATAATTCCCTCTCATGCATTCGCTGTTAAGACAAATGAGATGTGGTACTGGAAATTGTTACAGTGTGTACATAACTGGCACTGTGTCACAGAGAAGGAAAGGAGATTAGATCATAAGACCAGCAAAACCTTGAAAACTCCATCAAAGGCATGGGCATTCACAAAGGTGCTGTTAGGACACTGACTGAAGTCAGATGAGTACAGGGAAAAACTAAAAGCCAGGAAAAGCTCTGAAATATTGTACTTTGAAGTAATGAAGAATACAGGGGTCAAATAGAAGAGCTATACTTTGACCCAAGAACCTCGTAATGCCAACTGATGAGGTTGCAACAGAGGGGGCTATAGAGATCTCCTGGGTTTGTAGCACCGTTGTCATTAATATCATTGCAAAATGCATGTACAGATGTGTAAGAAGTTTAAAGAACATAATTTTCAGTGTGTGTATATATAAAGTATGTATTGTAGCGTTCACAATGGGTCCCCTCTCACCTGTCTGAACTGAATACTAATGAAGGATTGTGAAACTTTTCTCTCTGAAGTTAACGGGAAGAAATCTAACTGCAGATATAGATCAAAGGTTTGCTCTAGTATACTTGGGGGACACAGAAGACACCTACTCATCTTTCACTTAGGAAGTAAATGGGCAGTGAATTTCTTTCATAAAAGAGTGGTCTCAATCAGGCTTGGTTGAAAACACTGGGGAGAACTTTGGGAGAGAAACTTTAGACAGGAGTTTAACATGTTAGTTTAGGCTCTAGAAAGCATGTTATGATTTAGTTTATCTGTAACCATTTGTTTCCAATATTCTTGCTATCGCTTGAATCCTAGTTCTTTGAAAGAAAAAAAGAACAAACAAACAAACCCTTAGTCTTGTTTTTACTGTATACAAGTGCTGTGTGTTAAGCAAAGTGCTACTCCTGAGTATACAAGCTGGCATGTATGCCATCCCTTTGGGAACAGCAGGCCTGGCAATTCTGTGAGTGTTCAGTAGATAAGGGACTGGACACTACAGGGAACGTTCCACGGGTTCAAGAGTTGGCATGTCCTGTACAGAAAGCGAGGTCTGTGGAGGCCTGGAAGACCGTGCTTGTGTTGCCAGAGGCTGGTTGTTTCAGGGAATTGATCCACAGCCGTCATAACAAGACTCCATTATGCTAGCAACAGTTGAGGGTGAGGTGCCTCAGAACCCTGGATACCACTGGGGAGCATCACATTTTAAGACAAGCAGCAAGGTCTGGGGATTAGGATACATATTCCCTTACCTGGAAGGCCCTTAGCAGGATTTTGGATTATAGGATCCATAATTAAAAGCATCACTTGAAACAAATACCTTGGACAAACTCCAGAGTAAATTTTAACAGTCTGATTTGTCACTGCCTTGCACCTTATATAATCATGCTGAACTGGTACAAAATACTACCAAGTCAGAATGGTACATCTGTGCACAGATGTACTTTACTCCTACACAAGGTGAAAGGCCCTGTGATTTACAGAACAGGATTGAGTCAGGAAACCTTTGTTTCAAAGTGGCTTATGCCCTGGCACAGTCACTTAGTATCTGGTTGCTCTTTTTCCTCTCTCGCTCTCTCCTCTCCCCACTCTGTAAATCTGGAAGCAGACAGACCATACCTACCCTCAAGTATATTGAGGCTTGAGAAATTAAGGTCTGTAAAGTTTTTGAAATCCTTAGATAGACCAGAGTAACTACAGAAATGTATTTAACATAGAAAGAAAATGAAGATGGCCCATCATTTATTGCCTTAAAGTTGTCAGATGTAAAATTTATTTATACTCCTTGTCAAATGTTAGTAACATGGCTCCCTGGGTTAAAAGGAACACACATTAGCACAGAGAAGTTTATTAGATCTGGAATGATTTATTGGTAGCAGTTTGAGGTAGCATACTTTGTAAGGTAACAAACAACCATAATTCAGCTTCTCTGCATTTTTCCCTTAGAGGCACAAGACAGCCTTTTCTTTTGTTTCAGGAAGACAAAGTGTACAGATTGATATCGCCACAAAGATACTCATTTTAAATGCAAAATATGAAGTATATTTAAAAGGAGACTCTCAGATATAACAATTAGAATCAATAGTACATGTATGAAGGGAGAATAATTTGCATTAATTGTATTTAAAATTGTGGGTACAAGGTAGTTCTACCCCTCCCCCATCTTTATGAAACTGGTCTTTGGGCTCTCTGAGATACTGAAATTTATGTTCAAAGACAAAGGGCACAACTAAAATCAGTGCCTGCATGGGTTGCAATTCTTCAGTGTGGCTTTCTCACAATTTGCAGGATTGACTAGACTGAAAATTAAAAGGACCCAAACAAACCTAGTGTATAACCAAGGGTAGGTATCCATTTGCTTATATTAAGAAAGATTCAAACCTACAGGTCAAGAAGCAGCCTGATAATATCATGAATGAAAATAGCACTAAATATAAACAAAATATACAATTAGAGCAGCGCAGACCAAACGTTTGAGCTGTGTATCTTTCCAACCAATTTCAAAATACAGTAATACAAATTAAAAGTTTAACTTGCATGGTACAGGTCAGAGATCATTTGCTCTGCACAAGTTGTTATGCTGTTTGAAAACTGAATTTTACAGAGTTATTTTGTGTTTAAGATATAGCTTGAATTACCAGGCTAGGGGTTGGAGATTTTCAAGGGGGTGAGAAAAGCAGTCTTCTCATCCTAGGCTGTAGCTGCTTTTGTAGTAGCCCCCATGGCACCTGCACATCAGCTGAAGAGAGAGAGAGGCTAGAGGATCTACATTACTGTGCATCCATTGGCTTTGCCCTCACTCCAGCCCTACACCATCCCATGTATCCCCTGCACTCTGAGGCACAGGTAGCCTCTGCAGAACATAGATTCATGACATGCATAAGGTACAGGCCCCTGCACAGGGTCCTGGAATCCGTCCTCTTTTTCCCCCGCGTGCAGTTGAACGACAGAAATTTTGCTACAGTTAGGGCTCTTTGTACCCATATGGGTGGGGAAACAGGACTTGCCCCATAATATCTGGAAAAGTGGGCATGGACCATAACTAGGCTTGGCAGGATTTGATTCAAATAGTCAGTAAATACCGATTTCAAATGACACAGAAATAAAGAAAAAAAATATCCAGTTGGCAAGCACAGCCTCCCATGCCCCTTCAGGAATCTGGTGTCACTGGCCCCCACAGGGAGGGTGACCAGATGTCCTGATTTTATAGGGACAGTCCTGATTTTTTGGGTCTTTTTCTTATATAGGCTCCTATTTACCACCCCACCCCATCCCGATTTTTCAAACTTGCTGTCTGGTCACCCTACCCACAGGGAGCCCCCCTCCAGCTCCTCTGTCATGGCCCTACTCACTCATTCATCAGCTGGGAGTGTGGAGGCTGTCCCCAGGCAGGAGCATTCAACAGCAGGGTGTCTTCGCCTGCAGCAGATGGCTCACCCTCCTCCTTGTGGCTCTGGCCAGGGGTCTCTGCTCTGCCCAAACAGGACTGGAGCCTCCCCCGCACCTTGCGCCCACAGGGACCCAGTATCCCAAGCCCTGCAGCTGCAAGGGAGCCCCCTGAGAAAATGGAAATTTAAAATGGATACAAATCAGGAGAAAAAGGTTAAAAATAAAAACAGAGGCTAACAGTTGAGTTTACAACAAAACTGGTTTCTGCTGAGCCTACCCATAACTGGCCTGATTATTAAATGTGATCTCAGGAATGTGTAAAACAAACAGGAAAAAGGAAATGCAAAAATGGATTAAAATAACCAATTCAAACTGCTTAAGAGATATTTTAATTAATTTTTTTTAAACCCTAAGCAATCCAATACTTGCTACCAAAACTTCTCCAAGCTGATCCTTACAAGCATCCTCAATTCTCAGGCTACAAAAGTATACATATATAAAAAAGGTAACTGTTTACAGTAAATACAAACATCAGAAAAAATCTCTGAAAAACCTGTCTATACAAATAGTAATAAATTCTTTAACATTTTGTACAACTAGAAGGTGCACAGACTGGCATTCAAGCGGTCAACGTAGGCATATGTCTTTATCAAACAGTAAAATGGTTTACTTGGGATAAAAGTATAGTTTAAAATGCCATAAATTAAATAAGTTAGTTCACATTTTCTTCCAGCACTTAGTATATCTTAGTCTCTAATGTGCTCTTGAAGCTTGCTTTAAAAGTTCCACGTCTTTCCGTTTGCTAGAGCTCACTCTGGTGCAGCCATACTCTTCCATTTGTAAAGGTATAAACTTTTCTATCTGACTTAGGCCCTGCCCAGCAGGACTGGTAAATAGCTTAGCCCAGGAAGGTTTAAAGTTTCCTCTGAAGCCAAGAAAGGCTATGCTCCCTGCAATGAAACAATCCAGAGTTACAGAATCAGAAGTTAGACATGAAAGAGACATCTTTTAGATACAATTTACATGCAAATGGACATTACAACAAGATGACATAGGAGAAAATAATTCCCTTCCCCCTACCCCAGATTTCCTCATATAATAGTAAATGCAGCCATCCTCACACCCAGCCAGACACTATGGTTTTAAAAGCCATCACACCACCACTTTTGAAAGTTTTAAAACCTTAATTAGTAGTTTTCCACTAACTTCTTTATTATAAAATAAACAGTTTGACATCATCTTAACTGGAAACAATTCATGGAACGCCTCAAGAATTTGACTCATCATAAGGAATTTTAAAAAAGAAAATGTATGAGAAAATTAAACATACCCTTGTTTTGAAGATGAGCTGGTTTGGCTGTTCCCAGGGACATTAAGGCTTCCGAAATATTAAGGTTTCTTATATCACCTCTTGTGCTTAGTAAAACTATTGACCTGTACCAGAAAGAAAGTAGTAAGATGAGGAAACTAAATATTTATTATCACTGATACTTATACACTTTCCAAACTAGCTTGCTTATTAGTCCACTGTATTTGGGGCAATACTATGTAGAGAGCTGATCAAAAATGGTTGGAAATTTTTTTAATTTTTTTTTGGCTGAGAAGTGTCCTGTTTTAGAAAATGAAATTTTGTGGAAAATTGTGACTTAATTAAAACTTCTATTGAAATGTTATTGGTGGTTACAAAAAGTTTGTCTAAAGGAAAATTTGGTAAAAGAAAATTTATAATGCTTTCAAGTAAAAAATTCTGCAAAAATTAAAAATGGACCCATTTTGAAACCTTTTAAATTAAAATTGCAATTTCTATTTTGTGAAGTTAGCTTTTCATTTTTCAACCAGCTTTAGTGTAGGCACCTTATCAAAATGGTTTTAGGTGACTTTTTATTACTTTCAATGTATAAAATAGAAATTAATAAATCTTCAACTTATTAACATTAAAGCACTTTTGTCAAAATTCTCATGCCACAATCTCCTCAATTAGACCAAGGCTTATTCTTCCTACCAGTGTAAGCTAAAAAGGTGATTATGTAATGTTTTGTTAAAATGAATCCTTTGAAAAGGAAAGCATATTTGGGGGATTTAATCCAAATGTTTAAGTTTACTGGTCCATTTTCTCAAATGTAGCTAAACTGTCCCTTTAAAATGTTTGTGTGCTTCTACTTACTCCCTCAATCTAAAAAGGTTTTCATAGCAATGTGAAAAGTGAGCTAGAATTGTCTGCCCACAAATATTGTTCTCTGGCAAAGGTTTGACTATCATGATAAAGCACTCCAGTGTATTTTGTACTCCAGTTCAAGTCTATATTTCGTGATACATATTGTAAATAAATTGATAGGTTTACAATAGCATATACCTTTGTGGAATTCCAGTTTTTAAATATTCATCTAGGCTTTTAATGTTTGCTTGAAGAAAAACATTTTTCTCTGTCACAGTGCCAACACAGGCATCAACTACTAGGGTAAATACACCCACATCTTTGAAGGGAAACTTATTTCCATTGACCTGAAGTGAGAAAAGACATCATAAATCACTGCCTGCTTTTGCCAGCAATTTGCAAGTACAATAATCTTCTTCTGCTCCTGTCAATTGGCCACATTTATCACAATTTGATTTATAGACACAGTAGTGTCCTTTTAAACAACCAATAATTTATCAAAGATTCTCCATTCTTCCTCTTCCAAAAAGACCTGGCTGACAGGACTTCTTCATTCCTCAGGGAGCCTTGAGAATCACCTAGCTTTTCCTCACTTCACTGTAATCACTCTCAAGGACATGAATCCTATCTCAGCCACCACCTTTCTTGACAAGGAATGGAGGTAGCTCACTTGTCCTGAGACGGTGCCATTCAGAGACTCAACCATTCCCTCTGTGCACAAAAGCAGAGCATGCAGCCTCCACAGTTGATTAAGTTGTACTATATTTAACAAAGCATCTTATTGAAAATCGTTAAAAATAAGCTACATAAAATCCTGTACAAGCTTGGATTTGTCATGTTACAAACACACATGCTGTTATAGCCTGCACTTCTCTGCCTAAATAATTCAGAGTTTTACTATTTCACTAACACAATATATGCATTACTCTATAGGACAAATATAAATTAAAATTGCACCCTTGAGGTGCTGAGAATGCCTGCAAACCCTCACCTCCGGTATCACATACAATTCTCTCTTGGTTCCCAAGTGGAAAAATGGCAACAGACCAAGTGTTAAGCAACATTACATCATCAGATTTATCACCACTGAGTTGGAGTGTAAACAAAAAATAATGACCCCTCTCTTCTAATCAGTTTTGAAGGGCTTTAACAGAACAAAATGTTGGAGGACTGGTACTATTAGGTAATAGTCTGTTAGTATAAGAGTTATTTCACTGATTTGGATTGAACCACAGTACTGAGTACTCACCAGTTCCCACTGGCTTCAGCGGAAGGATACTCAGCATGATACAAAATTGCACCAATGTGCAGCTGCCATAATTCAAACTGCTAAGGAAAAAGCAGTTAAAGGAGGCCATAAGGATACTTACAGAGATAAAAGATGGAAGACTACTTTGTAATTCTTCTTTGCTGAGTGACTGAATCTGCACAAGGAGGTAGGTTTTGTGAGGATCACTGGTAAATGCCATCTAGATGTAAAAAATAAAGTTTTAACATGTTTACACTTCCCCCGCTTTCCCAGAAAATCTGAACAGCAAGTCTTATTTTAAACACTAGACAGCATACTGATAATCAACAATTATTCTGATAGACACTCTAGACTGAGAACTGGAAAAAACAAGAATAATAAATCAACAGTATCAAAATGCATGGATACTTTTAGACTGAAAGCTCTTCAGGGAAGGGGAACTATACATCCATAAAGTGCCTCACAGATTTTGGGTGCTATTGTAATACAACTGTATAAGCATGGATGAAAACCAGCACACTAATGATTCAAGTTTGAGCAATGGCACTTTGTTCTTACAGCATCTCTTGGTGTCTTGCCCCCAGGCTTGTGCTGGGCATCAGTTTCTGAGCCACTTCTGCTATGTTACCAAAAAAAGCAGAAGTATGAAGTAACATAGATGTTGGAAAAAAGGAGCAAGACAGCACTGAAGATACCAAACCTGTAGCCCTAATCTTGTAGTCTTTATGATAGCGATATTCCCACTGATAGAACAGGAGTTTTTCCTGAGTAAAAATTGCAGCATTTAGACTCACATTAATAGTTAGCATTTGGGGGGTGATGGTAGTCTGGGGAAGAAATTGCATGACAACAAACTGGAAACTGAAAGATGACGAAGTGATGAATAAAGTAGATTCCACAAAATATCACCATAAAGCAGACTTTTAACTGTAAAAATCACATTCACAGAGAGAACAAAACCTGGCTCACTGCAGTGAAATGAGAAGGGTGACAAAAAGATCTAAGTGGCAGAAAAGAAATGGTAAAAAAAAAGTCATGAACTTATTTTTCATGTTCAGTTTTTGTCATGGGAGACAGAGAAGGAGTTATGGAACATGATAGGAATATGAACATTTTATTGAAGTGGAAAGAAAATACATTTTCCCTGCCAAACAGAAGTAAAGAAAAGGATGAGGAAGATCCAGTTACTACAAAAGGGGGAAAAGTACGTTATAAGTAGAGAAGCCAAGCTCTTAAAGTCTTCTCTTTGAAAGACTAGAAAGGAAAAATCTTGAAAACATGTTACTAGAACAATGGAAGGTTAAGCAGCAACACAATGGGTTAGATCCTCAACAAGGGCCAAATTGCATCTGGTGCAAGTCAAAGGATGGGAGGGACAGCTACTAAGGGCTCCCAAGGGGCTGAAACCACAGGCAGTGTTTGGTTGTAGGGACATTCCAGCCATGCCCCTCTTCCTCTTGCTATGCCCCATTTTCCTGCTACTTCACAGAGGGAGCCTGTCTGTGGTACTGAAACCAAGTATAAGGTCAGCTCCTCTGAAGTAAACAAGGACTGGGAAAGACCTAGAGATCAGGCTGTAACTCTCGTCATCTGTTTTATCATTAGAAAGACCTGACCCCTCAAAGAGGTGTATGTGAAACTGGAGCAAGGCCTGATGATTTAAGCCATGGTTGTCCATAGAGCTATACCAGCGACCATGATTCTGGCAGCAGAGCTTGAGGGGTCATAAACTGCTCTTCGTGCATATCTTACTAGTGTTCTACCCTCAGTGACCACGCTCTCAGCGGTTTTCCTGTGTGTGTCTAGTAAGGAGTCAGTGCATGCTTAACTGAATACCATAATGCATAGCTATATCTGAACAGGGCAGCTTGGTAATTTACCACTTGGAAGCTCAAAGAAGCAGAATAATAAATTTTCTTCCAACAGCCTCCAGCTTATGCCCCTCTCTTTCTCTATCTGAGGAAGCAGTCAGGGATGCACTGTTACTTGTGCAGAGTTCCTGGGTTACGGGAACTCTGGAATTCAAAGCTGGCTCCAGAGACCAGCTTTGAATTAGCCAAGAGACATTACAACAAAACAACAACAAAAACTGAGTACCCTCCAAGGGTACAGGAGGCAAACAGTTAGCTCTTTTTGGTACTGGTGGTGAGGACAGAGAGATGTGTTCTTTAAGCTTTAAGTCAAGCAGTGGAGGTATAGCCAAAAGCCTTAACAGAGGGCCCCCCAGTCATGATAGGGGAAATTGACTGTCAGAGGTATGTGAAACAGCAATGTGCCAAGGTCACCTGGCACCAGAGCCTCAAACAGAGGAGAACTGCATGCCAGAGGGAGAATTAAGACTAGTAAGGAGTCTCCAAAAGTGATGACAGGTTTCAGAGTAGCAGCCGTGTTAGTCCGTATCCGCAAAAAGAAG